CACTATCATCGTTGGTTTGTGTAAGGCCCATCTCCCCCTCCATTTAATATTAATCCATTTACTTATTCCCATTTATCCCATTCATTACTCCTTTTCATAAACAGCCATTTTACTATGTTTAACGCATGCATTTTTTATGTATATGTCTGAGTACAAGATGTTATACTTATGTGTACATGTATTTTTCTCTTTTTTCTAACATCTTTATTGGAGTATATTTGCTTTACAATGGTGTGTTAGTTTCTGCTTTATAACAAGGTGAATCAGCTATAGCGTACATGTATTTTTAATATACATAAATAGAATTGTGTTATAGAACTCATTGTTTTTTGCTTTTTCCTCTCAGAATTGTTTTTTTTTGTTTGTTTTGTTTATTTTTGGCTGTATTGGGTCTTCGATGCTGTGCACGCGTTTTTCTCTAGTTGTGGAGAGCAGGAGCTACTCTTCATTGTGGTACATGGGCTTCTCATTGCGGTGGCTTCTCTTGTTGCGGAGCATGGGCTCTAGGTGCACGGGCTTCAGTAGTTGTGGCTTGCAGGCTCAGTAGTTGTGGCTCGTGGGCTCTAGAGCGCAGGCTCAGTAGCTGTGGTGCACGGGTTTAGTTGCTCCGCGGCATGTGGGATCTTCCCGGACCAGGGCTTGAACCCGTGTCCCCTGCATTGGCAGGCGGATTCTTAACCACTGTGCCACCAGGGAAGCCCTCAGAATTGTTTTTAAGAGTTACCTGTGATGCTAAATGAACACCTAGTCTATTGCCGTTAAAACTGCTCCATTGTGTACATCCACAACATTTTACTTATCCAGTTCCTCAGTGCTGGACACCTGGGGTGCCTCCAACTTTGCAACACCACAAATAATGAATGTCTTTATGTTATTTATCTATTACTGCACAATAAGCTACTCTAAAATTTAGAAGTTTAAAACAACATTGTTTCAATACCATATGATATCGCTTATATGCGGAATCTAAAATAGGACACAAATGAACTTATCTATGACAGAAACAGACTCACAGACATAAAGAACAGACATGTGCTTCCTAAGGGCATGGGGTTTGGGGGAGGGATGGAGTCGGAGTTTGGGGTTAGCAGATGCAAACTACTATATATAGAATGGATAAACAACAAGGTCCTACTGGATAGCACAGGGACCTCTCTTCAGTATCCTGTGATAAACCATAGTGGAAAAGGATATAAAAAAGAATATATATGTATAACTGAATCACTTTGCTGTACAGAAGAAATTAACACAACATTGTAAATCAACTATACTTGAATAAAAACAAAACAAAACGTTGTTTCACAGTTTTTTAGTATCAGGAATCAGGGTACTGTGTAGCTTGGTGCCTCTGACTCAAGTGTCTCATGAGCTTGTAGTTGATCTTATGGCTGGGGCTCTGGTCTCATCTGAAGGCTCAACTAGGAAGGACCTGCTTCCTAGGCTTCTCACTTGGCTGTTGGCAGGATTCAGTTTCCCTAGGGCTGTTGGCCTCAGTTCCTTACTGGCTGTTGACTGAAGGCCTTCCATAGTCCTTTGCAAGGTGTACTTCTCTGTATGTCAGCTCACAACAAGGCAGCTGGCTTCCCTTGGAGAAAGCAAACAGAAGAGCAAGAGCAGGTGCCCAACACAAGCCACGGTGGTTTTGTAAGCCAGTCTCCTCTCAGAAGTGGCATGCTTTCACTTTTACTGTATTCTTTTCTAAGCAAGTCTCTACGTCCATCCTACATTCAAGGGGAGGCAGTTACACAAGAACATGAATAGCAGGAAGTAGGGATTATTGAGGGTCATTTTGGAGGTTTGCTTACCACAGTCCTCAGACATATTTCTGTGAATTTTTCTTTGGCATATACATATACTGGGTTATAAATTGTTCTCTAAAATAGCTGTGTTGGTTAATATTACTATCAGCAGTACATGAGGGTTTATATATCATTATGTACCTGCCAATACTTTACATTTTCTAGGACATCAAGGGATATTACACTGTTTTAAACAGACTGATTTTTATCTTTTGCTCTTTTTTTTCCTAGTGAAGTTCTTGGCTTTTTCTGGGCTTTTTGCGGGAGTTGCTTGTAATATTCTAGATATTAGTTCTTTGTTCTTCTTCCATTTTATCATCTTCCAGTTAACTTTGTTCAGGGTTTCATTTGTTGAGCAATAATCTTTAATTTTGATGTAATTAAATGCTTTTATTTATTTACTTTGTGCTCTTAGGCTTTTATTTAAGAAGTCCCTTCTTGTGCTTATGTTACAAACTTATCATTGTACATTTTCTTCTGTTAATTTTAGTGTTGCCATTCGCATCCAAGTGAATGTAGGTCTTTAATTCTTCTGTAGTTGGTCTTTGAATATTTTGTAAGATAGGGAGCCATCATTATTTTTCTTTATGAAATAAGCCAGTTTTTCCCAGCACCATCTTCTGTACAATCTGTTCTCCATTGATTTATGGATCCGTTTTATTGTATGTTTCCATAGAAACACAGGTTTGACCTGTACATTCAGTTCTCAGTTGAGTTCCATTGGTTTGTCTAATTTTTCTGTCTGTGCTTGCAACCATACTGTTTTTATTGCCACAGCCGTGTAACATGGCTTGATATCTGGTAGAGGAAGTCCCTCTCTTCACTTATCAGTTTCAAGATTGACTTGGCTACATGTTTATTCTTTCATAAAAATGTCAGAGTCAATTTATGAAGTTTCTGAAAAAAACTCAATGAGAATTTTGGTTGTGAATAAGATTAATTTGTGTAGAATTATCTTCATGATATTTAGTCATTCCATTCAGATCATCCTGTTTGCCCTTTATTAATGTTTTAATACTAATAAGTGGATGCTCGCCAGCAAAATGAGTAGAAGATATCCTCTATGTCAGTCAACAGAATCCTGGATCCTTTTTTCATGAAATTCCCTTTACATTTTTGTTGCAAAGAGTATTCCTTTTGTATTATGATCGTGTATTATATGGCCTCAACATATTTCTTCCTTTTTGCTGTTCTGAGTTATATATGCCTGGTACACTATGCTGATGACTGTTCAGGAAGTCCTAGATAGTTCCAGTCAAAATCAGAGCAATAAAGATCCCTCCCATTTGTGATGTTCTCCCATTTGTGACATTGTTTGGCCCAATTTATTTTGAAGGAGAACAGCCCTCTGTTCTAAATCTACATTCTTTCATTAATGTTGTCAGACATAGTATTTATTAATAGTCATAGTTTTTAGTTTTTTTTGCGGTACGCGGGCCTCTCACTGTTGTGGCCTCTCCCGTTGCGGAGCACAGGCTCCGGACGCGCAGGCTCAGCGACCATGGCTCATGGGCCCAGCCACTCCGTGGCATGTGGGATCTTCCCGGACCGGGGCACGAACCCATGTCCCCTGCATCGGCAGGCGGACTCTCAACCACTGTGCCACCAGGGAAGTCCCATAGTTTTTAGTTTAAACAAATTAAAGCAGTTTCTTCCTGGATCAGGGACCTAGTGTAAGATGTTAAATTGTAAACCACTGCTGTTGTTTTTTTTTTTATTATTGATGCAATGACTAAATGCATTAACAAGTGTACTGGAGGTAGTCACCTACCTAGATAGGGTGTACTGTGGCAAGATACTTGTTTTTCAGGATTTGGCTTTAAGCCCTGACCCAACTGAGAAGCCTAGCAAATTGACTGCAGAGTATGGAGTCCTGACAGGCATAGGCTGTATGAATAAATGATTATTGTGATTCAAAATCCTTTGGGTTTTGAGCACCCAAATCATCATTATTGAAGAATTAATGAATCCTAATACAACACATCAGGGTTGTTTTTCATTCAATTCAAGAAATAAGTACAAATGTAAGGTGTGCCTTTTATGTGGTTAATATTTTACAACAGTAATTATGGAAATTTCAGGAAAGAGAATTGTTCTACAGTATTAGTCAGATTTCTGAGTAGAAATGAGACTTATTCGTTACATAATAAGATCATTTGCATGGGTCTCTTGTGTTTTGTTTTGTATACTTTGCTTTTAAAAGATATTTCATCAGCAAAATAACTCCGTAAATATCTGGTAGAATTAGAACTTAAAAATCTGGTAAGCTTCTCCATTTCTAGAATCAGGTCCTCTTTAATTTGTTTGATGAGCTTCATTTAAGTAGGTGTTCAATATTTTTCTTTGGGCTTTCCGTGAATGTTTCAGATCTGTAAAAATAGCTGATATTCTTTTGGAGCTGTTACTCTTTTTGTTGTGTTGTTGAGATTTTCACTTTCCTGGGCTAACATGTTACTCTTTCCGATAATTGTGTTTAAACTTTTGCAATAATTGAAGATTTCTTGATTCATTTGTTCCTGTTAGTGCTCAGCCAAAATTTTGTTTCCTTTTTATTTGTTCTAAGATTTGTTTCTAGAAGGGGTTAATGATCTTCGGAGGACAACGGTAGTCCTTCATAAAAGAAATACGCTTGATAAAACAGGAACAGTTTGTTTAATGTTCATATTTTGCTGAACAGGCAGAGTTGGCCTTGAGAAAGTAGACACTTAGAGATAGAAGATCTAGGGTATACCATAGTTCTTACTGTAAAGTTATTATCAATTCAGAAAGACACTGTTGTCTTCCCTACACTGT